AAAAAATAAAAAGAAATAAAGAAACTACAAACATTCATGTGGTCAAAAACAAATTCCAAAAACATTAAATGTGAAATTTGAAAGTTCCTTTGTTCTTGATTTTGACCAACTAATCAAATTCTCCAAAGCTTGTCTTGGGCCTCATCCATTCTTATTTGGGCTGGTTTTGTTGAGAAATTGGCCCAACAAGAATATTTCATTTCTTGGACTGAATGCATCAGATTTGGATCTAGAACGGACGTGATCTTCAAACGTCTGATTGAGGCCAAATCACCAAAAATTATGTACACGTGAAGCTCTGGATGTCTAGTTTATGTTGCTTCAAACGAAATTGCGATCGGAGTTTCCAATCAAAAGTTATTAATAAAACAAGACAACATGCTCAATCTGTATTCCCACGACTGAACCGTGAATTGAGCCCTCTCTCCAGGATTGAATATTTCTTCGTTGAATTTCAGCTTCACCAGATCAAACCCTTAGTGAGTTAGCGTTCATTTTCAATTGGAATCACGTCGTTTAGACATTGGAGTGCAAAGTTATGACCGAATTGCTCCATAGTGCTCATTCTGCACAAAACCGAGATTTCTTGATCATAAACAATCTGATCATGATCGATTGTTTTTGAGTTTCTGGACACACTCCTCTAGGATCATATCATTCCCCTCCTCTTGAACAAAGCTTTGCCCTCAAAGCTTGAGATGAATCTGATTTAAAACTGACTCAAAAATGAACGACCGAAAACAACATGAGACCCGACAAAAGAAAAAAAATGATAGAAATGAAAAGAAAAAAAGATAGGATAATCCTAATATAGAGAATCAAGCTCTGATACCAAATGATACGAACCCGGATCGACGAATCTCAGAATTAGGTAAAAAGGATAGTAGATGGATGTTCAAAAACCCACTAACGACACGTGAACCGAACCTAGGACTTGTTCCAGTCACAAGAACGCCCTAAACCCAATCCAGACCCGGTTAGAGAACCTTTGAAGCGAGCGAAGACGCCACAAACACCTGGTGGTAAAAGTGTTTGATAAGTCAAAAGAACACTACCTCAAACCTTACGAAGTTTAGAGTTAGTACTCAAGAACATAAGAAGAAACCTCTCAATTCAATAATCTCCTGCTCCCGTTCTCTTGTCGTCTCTCCCGTGCTTCCCGATGTCCTCATCAGAGTCGGTAGTGGATGGTTGCTTCATGTTGTGATATAAGGTGAACTCCACAGTCTCGTCACCTATCTTCATCGTGAGATGACCAGCACGAACATGAACCACCGCATCGGCGTGTTTAAGAATGGTCGGCCTAGTATAATTGGTATCTTCGAGTCCTCGTCCATGTCTAAAACAACAAAATCAACGGGAACATAATAATCCCCGACTTTTAACGGGACATCCTCGAGAATACCTGCAGGATACTTGACGGATCGATCCGCAAGCTGTAGTGCCATCCTCATTGGCTTAAGATCTCCAATGTTGAGCTTCTTATAAATGGACAACGGAAGCAAGCTCACACTGGCGCCCAAATCGCACAACGCACGTCAATCTCAATGTTCCTGATCTTGCAAGGAATCGAGAAACTACCTGGGTCTGATCTCTTCCGTGGTAACTCATGCTGCAGAATCGCAGCACTCACTTCGGTGCTCAAAGCTATTGTCTCTTTCCCGATCACCCTCTTCTTGGTCAGAATATCTTTCAGAAACTTCGCATAAGAAGGTATCTGGAGCATAGCCTCGTAAAAGGGTATCGTGACTTCCAGCTTCTGAAGCATATCAGCAAATCTCGAGAAATGTGTATCCTCTACATGCTTCTTCAACCGAGAAGGGAAAGGAATGAGTGGTACATAAGGTAGAGGAGCTATATAAGGCAGTTCGGCTTCCTCTACATGCACCTTAGGTGTCCCGTGAGCTATGGCTTTCCCTTTTTCCTCAACAGTGTATCTGGATGTCATCCCTTCCTCTACAGCAGTGGTAGGAATCGTCTCAGGCAAGTTCTTTCCACTCCTTAGCTCAATGGCGTTGATGTGCTCTCTGTTGGGGTTTCCTGGGATCTCATGAGCGAATCTAATTCCTTGGAGATCAGTTCTAGGGTTCGCGCAGCGGATGTAAAACAAAAATTTTGATAAAACCCTAAAACCTATCATGCATGATCTTATAGAAACGTTAGAACGCTTACCTCAATCGATCCGGGGCCTGTATCAATTGATGTGTTCGTCCGATCACTGTAGGCAGGAAGAATACCTTGTCCTCTACACGTATCCACACGGCGGAAAGGATTCCAATAGTTGGAACTCGTCTGCTAGGACTGAAGAACACTTTCTTCTTTGCCCAAGGGTTTCAGGGATCTAACTCTTAGGTTTTCACTCTCAAAAACTCCCCTAAGGGTCGGAAAGTCGTGCCAAGAGGATTAGCAGGCGTTCCCCAAAGTTAATCCCACTTAAACACCTAATTAGAGCGAGTTTAAGAAATCCCGACATCTGGACCGGTCGGTCCACGCCTGGACAGATCGGTCTGAAGCTTATTTTTCGTATGTCTGGACCGATCGGTCTAGAGCAATTTCCGGACCGAGTGACTTTCACATGTTACCTCCGGACCGATTGGTCTACGTCTGGACTGATCGGTCTCGGCTGGCTGGACCGATCGCTCCAGACCTTCTGGACCGGTCGGTCTGGCCTCCGCTCCACCAGGATTTTCTCGTCTCTTCTCGCGCATTCGTCATTTCCTGTGTGTGACCCTGTAGGCTTATCCGATATAGCAGTATATCCCGAAATCTTTTATTTCGGTTACACAAGTCATAGGCGGTCTCTAGCAAGACACTATGACTACCTATCTCGAATAGAGTTTATTCGTGATCCTACGAACGCCAGTGATGATTCCGTTTGATGATCCTTTTGTATCACGATATCATATGTCGAATATAAGGCATGGACAAGCCACCTTATCTGATTCGACTGCTTTCTCGTCCACTGAGTTCGACTGTCTGAAATAGATGACGTTCATCTATAGTGCGGCCACACATTTCTACAATCTCGCTTACACGAGGGGCCCAGCAATATCTCTCTCTTTTACGAGAGGTACAAATCACGTCTTGACTATCTACAATCCAACACATGATTCGTTTCGTACCTGATACGTGCCTTTATAGTCCTCCTGTTACGCAGGACGTTTGACGTATTCAACGCATGCAACTCCTCATGTTGGATTCCGTAGATATCTCAGGTCTTAGGATCCAGTCATGGAACCGTCAAATGAGATTCAAGTCATGACGCTAGTCCATGTGACAATTGATAACACATATTTCGGGTGATGTTTTGATATAGGATGTCTAGCGTATTTCACTCGATTTTATATATTTGTAGACATTCTAGGGCACATTTGGCTTCGATATTGGTTGGTTGTGTTCTTTGGTGTTTAAACAGGAATCCACACATAAAGAGAGCAAAAAAAGTGGAAAGCCTTTCTCGCATTCATTCATTCAAGCAGGATCATGGGGAAAGCCTTTATAAAGCTTGGAAGAGGTACAAAGGATATCAGAAGTCTTGCCCTCATCACGGGCTTGACAATAACTACTTGATAAACACCATCTTCCGAGGACTCAGAATGGATACCAAGACTTTGATCCGAGCTTCATATGGTGGGAGCATCCAGAACAAGTCATTCGCTGAGCTAGAAGATCATATTGAGATGATGGCCCAAGAAGAAGACGTCCCGAACGAGTACTCTAGAGATCCGCCAAGGGAATGCAATGATCAGACTATACAGATGGTTCTTGAACAATTGGTTGTCCTCAATGCTAAGCTCGAAGATTCCAACCGACCCTCTAGGACCAAGCATTTGATGCCAACACAAGAGGAGCTTGGTATGTACGCGTTGGATGAGAGAGTCGAATGTGAGAACTACGTGGCCAATAACTCCTACTTGAACACGTACAATCCAGGGTGGAAGAATCATCCCAATCTCTTCTACAAGTCAAACAATGTGGAGAATCTCGTGTCGAACAAATTCAGAGCATCCGACAACTCGAACTAGAGGATTCCTCCCAGTGTTGCTTTTCAATCCAGGGGTCCTAATCAGACATCTAACTACAGAGCTCCGGGGTAATCCTATATTAATTCCACACCTCCAGGTAATCCTGAATCCAACCCTGATATGCACACTTTGCTTATACAGTTTATACAGAATCAGGAAAAGATAAATCAGGAATTTCGAGCTCAGTTCGCAAGCATCGATGCTCACTTCAAGATCATAGACAACCATATCGCTCAGCTAGCTTCAACCTCTCAAAGACCATCCGGATCTCTTCTAGGTAAACCTGAGACTAACCCCCGTGAACATGTCAATGCGATTACTTTTAGAAGTGGTAAGCAGGTAGACGTTGAAGACCGACCGATGGTTGAGCGAGGAAAAAGCTTGAAGACTGCAGTTGTAGACATCCCCGATGATGAACCTGAACCGGCTTACGTGCCTCCTCCTCCTAGGCCACCACCAGTACCATTTCCATCTCGCTTGAGGAAGCATAACGAAGACAACCAATTCACAAAGTTTGTTGAGATGCTGAAAAACTCGAGGTAACCATGCCATTCACTGATGCTATTTTGCAGATTCCCTTGTACACAAAGTATTTGAAGGACATCCTGATAAAAAAAGAGGGTCGTGAGAAAGAAACCGTAGCACTTATTGCCGAATGCAGCGCTTTGATCCAACATGAGCTTCCGCTTAAGCGGTCCGATCCAGGTAGTTTCTCAATCCCTTGTAAATTGGGTAATGTTTCCATCGATCGTGCACTCTGTGATCTAGGAGCCGGCGTCAGTCTTCTTCCATTATCGATCTTCAAGAAGCTGAATGTGGGTGAGCTAAAACCCACTAGAATGACTCTTCAACTTACCGATCGTTCCATTAAATACCTTGCTGGGATACTTGAGGATGTGCCACTGAAAGTTGGGAACTTCTATATCCCGGTTGACTTCGTGGTTCTCGACATGGATGAAGACTCTAAGGTACCTATAATTCTTGGTCGTCCATTCCTTAACACTGTAGATACTATCATTCATGTTCGAGCAGGTCGACTCACTATGAAGATTGGCGATGAGACGGTAGAATTTACTCTGGACAAAAATCTAAAGCAACCATTATCTACGGACACGATGTGTCTAGCTCGTCACACGATCGTGTCCGAAGCCGCAATGCTGTGTGCGCGAATCAGCCATCTGACTCGATCGTGTCCCTTTTGCAACATGATCGTGTTGACGGTTGATAACTCCTAATTCTCTTTATATTTCCTGGACGTTTTTATAGGATTTATATGAGGATCATGTTCATTTGTAGGCATTATAAAGGATAATATTTCCTGGATGTTTTTATAGGATATATTTCCTGGACGGTCCACGACAACACGCAGACCGTCCATTCTATGTGATAGAACGGACGGTCCGCACTAAACGTAGACCGTTCGTTCTGCCTTACTGGAACGGACGGTCCACGTGCAATTCCGGACCGTCCGTTCCAGGTTCCGGTTTTTCGAAAATTAAACAAAAATTAGGGTTAAATCACTTTATAAGTAAGAGATTAAAACCCTAATTCGTAAGAGACTTTTGACAGCCGACTTTTGGCAGAAACTAGAGAGTTTTTGGAGATCCAAAAACGAGTTCTAAGTCTCGGTATTCCTCGGTGCAAATATCGAATAGAGATTCGAGTCCTAGCAGACAAGTTCCAAGCGTTGGAATCCATCCCGAAGTATGGATACGTGTAGAGGGCGAGGTATTCGTCCTGCCTTTCGTGATCAGACGTGTTCTTCGATTGATACAGGCCCCGGATCGACTGAGGTAAGCGTTCTAACGTTTCTACGATTCATAGAAGCATGGTTCTAGGGTTTATTAAATTTTTGTTTTATATCCGCTGCGCAAACCCTAGAATCAATCTCTTAGGAATTAGATTCGCTCATGAGATCCCAGGAAACCCAACAGTGGTATCAGAGCCTGGTTGCACTGTTTTGATTTTGTAGAACCCGATCACGCACGTTTTAGGATTTGAATTGTTTTAATCCATGTTTGCTTTGATTTCTATGCATGTTTGATGATTGAATTTAGTGTAGATTGCATGTTTCATATTGCATAGAGTGCAGGAGTTCAAATTTTGGGTTAACAGATGAATTCGGATCAGTTTCGGATCTGATCGGGGCCGAAAACACAGGAGAACGTGATCTGATCACGTTGATGAACCCTAGACCGTCCGTTCTGGGTAAGCCAGACCGGACGGTCCGGGGTGACGGACTAAAGCTACGGAACGGGAGGTTGAACCTCGAATTGCAAGTCTGGACCGGACGGTCTGAGTGTCAGAACGTCCGTTCCAGATGCTGAGGCAAGACCGTCCCGTTCTATGGCTGGACCGGTCGTTCTGCGAAGTGCAGACCGTCCGTTCTGTCTGACAGACCGTTCGTTCCATGGCTGAGATCAGACCGTCCGTTCTGCTGTCATGGACCGTCCGTTCTGTTTGTTCTCCAAGGCTGGTCCGTCCGTTCCACACTTGGAACGGACGGTCCGAGACCCAGACTCCGAGATACAAGACCGTCCCGTTCTATGGCTGGACCGGTCGTTCTGCGAAGTGCAGACCGTCCGTTCTGTCTGACAGACCGTTCGTTCCATGGCTGAGATCAGACCGTCCGTTCTGCTGTCATGGACCGTCCGTTCTGTTTGTTCTCCAAGGCTGGTCCGTCCGTTCCACACTTGGAACGGACGGTCCGAGACCCAGACTCCGAGATATTTCGTTTTCTGATCCGATTGTGCAATCGTTGCTTAATCTGATCAACTGTGACTCAAATAGACATGATTTATTCTTATGGATGGTCCATAGTGAATGAATGCATGTAACTTAATCGAGATATTAGATATGCTTGATTGAGTGGGAGCTTCGAGATTGGGATTACATAATCGAATGGATGGTCTATTCAGATTATGTAATACATCTGATCAAGGAATAATTGTTGATCCTTGATATGTACAATCGTTGCACAGAAACCGGTTAGATCCAGGAGCTCTATGAGTAAAGCACTTGTCAAGGCCTCGATCGTACGTGTCATGGGTCATGCCAAAGCTGGGTGTGCCGTATTATCTTGGTGAGGCAAGATGGAGAAATGGTGGTTCTCATAGCTTGAAAGTAGATGCTTGATCTAAGTGTGGTTTCGAAAATCCCATATTTATGTAATGCTAAGTGTGTA